TCTCCCTCTGACCCTCCCCCCTCTCATGTGCTTTCTCTCTCTCAAATAAATAAATAAAATCTTTAAAAAAAAGAAAAAAAAAAAAGAAAAATTTGATGGATACCACCTGAATCAAGTGATCAACATTTAAATCACCAGGAATTAAATTGACATCATATGGCTTCTGATATGATGCATTAAGGACCCAACATCACTTATGTAGCATTCCTGGTAATGTTTAACCTAAAACGAATCATGTGAAAACAACCAGGCAAACCCAAATTGAGGGGTATTCTACAAAACCACTGGCCTGTACTCTTCAAAAATTCTTTGTCTTTCCGGACAATGACATGGCTGAGGAAGTATTTTTTTATATTAGGACTATATCCTGGATTTTTAAAAAATTGCTGTAAAGCACATTATGGGAACGTTTGGTGAAATGTGAATATGGACAATATATGAGATAATTCAGGAAATTTAATTCAGGAAATTTGTACTACTTAATGTAGTACTCTATCAGTGTTAAATTTCCTGAATTTGATAATTGGGACTTCTAGTTTTGTAAGAGAATGCCCTTGTTCTTGGGAGGTACATACTGAAATACTGTATTGGGGTGAAGGGTTAAGGGTTATGAGGTTTACAACTTAACTCTGAAACGGTTCCACAATCACAGTGATAACAACAGTAGTAATAAGAAGACATATATATTTATGTTACATCCATCAAAATCCTAGAGGAGAACACAGGCAGCAACCTCTTTGACCTCAGCCACAGCAACTTCTTGCTAGACACGTCTCCAAAGGCAAGGGAAACAAAGCCAAAAGTGAACTACTGGATTTCATTGAGATAAAAAACTTTTGCACAGCAAAGGAAACAGTTGACAAAAACAAAAGACAACCGACAGAACAGGAGAAGATATTTGCAAATGTCTTATCAGATAAAGTATCCAAAAGTATCCAAAATCTATAAAGAACTTACCAAACTCAACACCTAAAGAACAAATAATCCAGTCAAGAAATGGGCAGAAGACATAAACAGACATTTCTCCAAAGAAGACATACAAATGGCCAATAGACACATGAAAAAATGCTCAGCATCACTCAGCATCAGGGAAATAGAAATCAAAACCACAATGAGAGTATCACCTCACACCAGTCAAAATGGCTAGAATTAACAACTCAGGAAACAACACATGTTGGCGAGGATGCAGAGAAAGGGGAACCCTCTTACAATGTTGGTGGGAATGCAAACTTCCCAAACTGGTGCAGCCACTCTGGAAAACAGTATGGAAGTTCCTCAAAAAGTTGAAAATAGAATTACCTTATGATCCAGCCATTGCACTACTAGGTATTTACCCCAAGGACACAAATGTAGTGATCTGAAGGGGCACCTGCACCTCAATGTTTATAGCAGCAATGTCCACAAGAGCCAAACTATGGAAAGAGCCCAGATGTCCATCGACAGATGAATGGATAAAGAAGATGTGGTATATATAAACGATGGAACATTACTCAGCCATAAAGACTGAAATCTTGCCATTTGCAACAACATGGAGTTAGAGGGTATTATGCTAAGCAAAAAAAGTCAATCAGAGAAAGACAACTATCATACGATTTCACTCATATGTGGAATTTAAGAAATAAAACAGAGGAGCATAGAGGAAGGGAGGGAAAAATAAAACAAGATGAAATCAGAGAGGGAGACAAACCATAAGAGACTCTTAATCACAGGAAACAAACTGAGGGTTGCTAAAGGATGGGGGTTGGGGGGATGGGGTACCTGGGTGATGGACATTAAGGAGGGCACTTGATGTAATGAGCTCTGGGTGTTATATAAGACTGATGAATCACTGACCTCTACCTCTGAAACTAATAATACACTATATGTTAATTAAATGAATTTAAATGAAAAAAAGAAGACATACATATCTATATAGAGAAAAATGTGGCAAAATATTAACAATCAGAAAATCTCAGTGAAAGTTGTACAGGTGTTCTTATACGATTCATGCAACTTTTCTGGAGTTTAAAATTTGTTCCAAATAAAAAGATGAATTAAAAAAAAAAGGTCCCTTTTGTACTGCTTTCAAGGCAAAGGCCACTCACCTCTTCAATAGCAGCATCTTGCAGCAGAGAACGAATGTCCAGACGCATCATATGACGAGGTGCAGTTTCCCAGTGGTCAGCCATCTATTGCAAGATTTAGGAGGTCAAGTTATCTCAAGAAACTACTCAAAGAAAGACCAAGTGAGCATTTAAGACAAATTTAACTAATACTGTGAAGTCTAACAGGCCAGTTCCTAGAAGGGCTAGGCCACACCTCTTTCACTTAGATACAAAGGATAAGAATCATTTGTTAAGAAGGTAGAAAAGATTTTCTGAAAGTAAAGGGGATAAACAAGAACTTCCAGACAACAATGATCATACAGACAAAATGAAGTTTAGAATATACACTTCCTATATTTCCAAAAATCACCTTATTTATTTCTTTAAGTTTTCTTCCATGAATATTTCTTTTGCCACAAGTCTGGTTATCTGCACTCATTTCAGCTAAATATACCTAAGAAAGAAGGAACAGTGATTAAGCAAGCAAATGCAACACTTACATGATAACACAAAGTACTCTAAAGTTCTTTTACCTCAAAACCCTTGGTTTTTGCTGCACTCCAAAACTGGTCAAAATGTCTAACTCTGTCATTGATGGCATCCAGGATGATAAAGGGGAAAAAGCCATCATCCAGAGTCTTTTTGAAAGTTTTGAACATGCTGGTGCGGTAGGTCTCCTCCATCTCAGCTTCATATTCATATTCCATGACCTAATAAGATACCCCAAAAGAGATATGGAGTTAACAAAAACAAAGAACCATCCTAAACCTCTTCCCTGGTTAGCCTCTGGACAGAGATAACTTTGTAGTCTTTCCTTCACACCTAAGTACTAAAGTTTGTGTTCAAAAAAGAGAAAATTTTCTTTGTTTTCAAAAAAGCCGCATTACTCCCTGAACATGTTTTCCTTTCAAAATTATTAATGAATCGGAGTACAATCTGAGAGGAATATGCCATACCTTCTTTTTCACTTTCTTTCCAGAATCTGGGTCTTTTTCTTCTTTTTCCACTTCAGTGATGAAGTAATCATCTAAGCTTAGAACTCTGGGTGCAGGTCCTCCAAATTCTACCTCTTTATCCTAAGAATCATACAGTCAAGAGAGTTAAAGAGAACCTATAGAATAAATTAATGAATGCTCACAGCAAAGTTCCTTCTCATGGCTAAATAATATGCAATCTTCTGGTGGTTCAAATCGAGCAGAGGCAAAGATATTTGTTTAAGCAGAACAAAATGTTTATGGGACAGCATCTCCCACATGGGCCAATAAGAATGGATCAAACGGGAAATACCAGTATCAAAATCACGCTGCTTGCTAAGAAGGCAAGTGGCTAATAAAGGCAACTGATTTTTTGGCTTTCCCATACTTACTCGAATAAGTTTTGCAACATGTGTCTTTCCACTGCCAGGCAATCCTCTCATTATAACAACAATCTGAAACACAATGAAAAACCAAAAAATCACTCAGAAAATTTTTTTTTACAATGATGTCTTATAGTTAAGTGACATATTGTTTTCCAGGATACACCATATGACAGGTCATGAAACAAACCTTAATAAATTTGGAAGGACAGAAATAATACAAAGTATGACTCTGACCACAATGGAATGAAATTAGAAATTAATAGTAGGAAAATTTGAGAAATTCCAAGTATGTGGAAATTAAACTCCATACTCCTAAATAACCAATGGCTCAAAGAAAGAATTTAAACATCAGAAAATACTTTGAGATAAATAAAAATACCAAAACTTATGGGATGCAGGTAAAGCAGTGCTTATAAGGAAGTTTATAGCCATAGTGCCCATATTAATAAGAAGAAAGATCTCAGATCAATAACCCAACCTTCACCCTCAGACGTTGGAAAAAGAAGAACAAACTAAACCTGAAACAAGCAGAAAGAAGGAAATATTAGGGCAGAAGTCAATAAAATAGACAACTGAAAAACAATAAAGAAAAATCAATAGAACCAAAAGCTGGTTCTTTGAAAAGATCAACAAAATTGACAAACCTTTAGCTAGACTGACTAAGAAAAAAGAGAAAAGACTCAAATTACTAGAATCAGAAATGAAGGATGAAACACAATTGCCAACTTCACAGAAGTAAAAAATTGTTATAAAGGAATACTATGAACAGTTGTATACCAACAAATTAGACACCTTAGGTGAAATGGGCGAATCCCTTGAAAGACACAGACAACCAAAAATGACTCAAGAAAAAATATATAATCTGAATATACCCATGACAAGTGAAGAAATTAAATCAGTAATTAAAAACTACCTGCAAAAAAAAGCTCAGAGGCCCACATAGTTTCATCACTAAGTTCCAACAAACATTTAAAGAACTCTTTACAAGCTCTTCCAAAACACAGAACAGGAAGGAACAACTCCCTACTCATTTTGGGAGGCCAGCATTTCAAATCAAGCAGATATCTAAAACCAAAACACCAAAACGAGACAAAAACATCACAAGAAAACCACAGATTGTCTCTTATGAATATGGATGCAGAAATCCCCCAAAAGTTCTGGCAAAGAAATAGACTCTTAAGTATGGTGAACAAACTGATGGTTACCAGAGGGGAAGAAGGTGTGGGGATGGGTTAAACAGATGATGGGGATTGAGGAGTTCACGTGTCCTGATGAGCACAGGTGATGCATGGAAGTGTTGAATCACTATATTATACACCTGAAACTAATATAACACTGTTTGTTAACTAACTGGAATGAAAATTAAAACTTAAAAAAAAAAGAACATACACATTTGGAGGTCACTAGGAAAATAGGAAAATAAGCCCAAGCAAATCAAGTCTCCTAATTCTCCCTCTTTTTGTTTCACATGCCATAAAACCAAATCCACTTTCCTCCTCTTCAAAATAAGAGCAATTAATGAACCTCTTATGAACTGTTTTCTAAAGTTTTCAACATCTTTTTTTGCCAAGCAATTAATCTCTAATTTCTTAAATTCTATAGGGTAAGCAGTTTGAGATTAAATGATGATTTGGAGATGGTAAGATGCTTTGAATCTGATATTACCATGTCACAGAAAAGTAGAGGAATTCTATTCAGGATATGAAAAAGATCTCCTATCAGCCTCTGATTTGCAAGAAAGCTAGTCAACTACATAGGACTCACTCTCTCAGGTCTGCTCTCTCGGCCAGGTGGTTTCAAAATATCATCCACATTCTTAGATTCGGGTTTCTTCTCGACCCGTGGAGCTGGAGGTGGCTGGTGGCTTAGTGAAGGAGTTGGCAGGGGCATTCGCTCCTCTGGGTAGGTTCTTCGTTCTCCTAGGAGGCCAGCAGTTGAACAAAATTACTATTTATATGGTGATTATTTTAAATTTTAATTCTCTTCACTCATGCTAAGGTAATATAATATAAAATAATGATTTGGGGGCCACTTTTAACCTTAATGAGAGAAAGTTTAAAGTAATGTAAATCTATTAAAATCAAGAAAATGAAAAGATTTAGGTATGATTTCAGGCAAACAGAATGTTCTGAAAAATACCGAAATCATCTTTGTTTGTATTAAATTTAGGAAAAAGTTAAGCAACAGGACATGGAAGGAGAATAGTATACACTTTGTTGGATAGTCCCAAGTATGATTTTTATAATCTGTCTGTAACTTCAGCTTTACAGTTTTTTTTTTTTTTAAAGATTTTATTTATTCATGAGAGAGAGAGAGAGAGGCAGAGGGAGAAGCAGGCTCCCAAGCAGCAGGGAGCCCGATGCGGGACTCGATTCCAGGACGCTGGGATCATGACCTGAGCCGAAGGCAGACGCTTAACCATCTGAGCCACCCAGGTGCCCCAGCTTTACAGTTTTATGAACAAGAGTCACCAGCTTCGGAAAGCTTGTTCTTACAAACAGGTATGTGTTTCTAGCTTAAGTGTATAGTGGTGAAAAACCAAAAGCAACCTAAATGTCTAACAATAAGGTTTTATATTTTATCCACTCAATGGAATATCATAGAGCCATTATTATAGTAGGTTTACATATAGAAAAATGTGTATCGTACAATATCACTGGGAATAAGCATGATAAAGAAATGATATATACACTTTGACTACAACTTCACTGATATGTACATGAAAAGAGAATGATAAGAAATATACAAAATTATAATAGTTGTGTAGGTGGTGGGATTTTAACTGATTTTATTTCTGTTTTCTAAATTTCTTTAATAATACAAAAGAACAATTTATGTTTTCTTTCATTAATTACATTATTATTTTTTTTAATTTTAAATTTAAAAAACTTTTTTTTAAGTAGGCTCCATGCCCAGCATGGAGCCCAACTCGGGGCTTGAACTCATGACCCTGAGATCAAGACCTGAGCTGAAATCAAGAGTTGGATGCTTAACTGACTAAGCCACCCAGGCGCCCCTGCACTGCTATTTTTGATAATAATGTTGCCATCTCTGAAAAATCTGTGAGTACACGTTATTGAAAGTTTAAATCCATAGCTACAGTGGGAAACATCTCCAGTGGTTTGCATTCTCAACATCCTCATGGGTAATAAGCCACTGCTCTACCTCCAAACATGGATGGTCCTTCATAGGCTGGTCGGTCAGACTTTCGGTCATAGGATGGCCTATCAAATCCCCCTCTTCTGGATGAGGAATGGTCTTTTTTGTCTCGATATGACTGAGTCCTAGAAGATGTAACAGGAAGTGCTTTAGAAAATAAAAAGAAAAAATGGAGGTCTCTGTCTTACAATGCAATATTACTATCTGCCCAATTTTCTCCATGTGTAGTTACTACACATAGTAAATATTTTTATTTTTATTTTGCTTTTCCATTTAGATCTGCCTTGCATACACACATCTAAAGAGTTCATGAACTGCAAAAATACACTGTATGCCTACTACTTAAGTAATGACTGCACCTTTATTGACAATACTATTTCTTTTCCTTACTGGCTATCTCCATCTCCCATTTAATTCTCTGGAACTCAAGCTCACAAAGCTCAAAGATCTAGTTTTCTGAAGATTGGTCTGGAACTGTTCTTCCATCTCCACATTATATATACACACATGTATAAGAAGAATACATCATTTACTGAATTTCCTTTAGATACAATGACTTTTGCTGAACTTAAGTCTATGGTAATTTGTACACCTGGCAAAAAGATATTTTTCATAACATACCTATCATCTCGAGGTCGGCGTTCTCTATCAAATCGATCCCGGTCATAGTCAATCACACCCCGATCCCGGTCTCGGTCTCTGTGTGTCTCCCGATCCCTTTTGAAATCTCGATGATCTGCCATGACATTACTCTGACGATCAAAATAAGGCTCACGGTCTCTGTCTCTATCATAACGGTCACGTTGGCCTGTGTGCTCTATGAAAACAATTAATACAAGGTAAGAGCTACATCCCCTTTTCTGAATAAAAGCGGAAAGATGAAAATCTAACTTTAAAGCTAGTATAAATTATTGTTCTAAATTCAACTTATGAATTTTTTAACTATATTAAAGGGAGGCCCAGATAATTTTTTTTTTAAAAGAATTTATTCATTTATTTGTCAGAGAGAGCACAAGCAGGGGGAGCAGCAGGCAGAGGGAGAAGCAGACTCCCCGCTGAGCAGAGAGCCCGATGTGGGACTCGATCCCAAGACTTTGGGATCATGACCTGAGCTGAAGGCAGACGCTTAACTGACTGAGCCACCCAGGCGCCCCAGGAGGCCCAGATAATCTTATTGAAAGGAAAATCACATGAAAATTAGGTCCTAAAAAGGTTTAAAAATACTGATCTCTCAAACCACCACACACAAGTCAGAATGACTAAAATTAACAAGTCAGGAAACGACAGATATTTTTGAGGATGTGGAGAAAGGGGAACCCTCCTACCCTGTTGGTGGAATGCAAGCTGCTGCAGCCACTCTGGAAAACAGTATGGAGGTTCCTCAAAAAGGTGAAAATAGGGGCGCCTGGGTGGCTCAGTCGTTAAGCGTCTGCCTTCTGCTCAGGTCATGATCCCAGGGTCCTGGGATCGAGTCCCCCATCAGGCTCCCTGCTTGGCGGGAAGCCTGCTTCTCTCTTTCCCACTCCCCGTTTGTGTTCCCTCTCTTGCTGTGTCTCTCTCTCTCAAATAAAATATTTTAAAAAATAAATAAATAAAAGGTGAAAATAGAGCTACCCTATGACCCAGCAATTGCAACACTGGGTATTTACCCCAAAGACACAAATGTAGTGATCCGAAGGGGCACCTGCACCCCAATGTTTATAGCAGCAATGTTCACAAGAGCCAAACTATGGAAAGAGCCCAGATGTCCATCGACAGATGAATGGATAAAGAAGATATGGTGTACATATACAACGGAATATTATGCAGCCGTCAAAAAAGAAGTCTTGCCATTTGCAACGACATGGATGGAACTAGAGGGTATTATGCTAAGCGAAATAAGTCAATCAGAGAAAGACAATTATCATATGATCTCACTGATATGTGGAATTTGAGAAACAAGGCAGAGGATCATAGGGGAAGAGAGGAAAAAATGAAACAAGACAAAACCAGAGAAGGAGATAAACATAAGAGACTCTTAACCTCAGGAAACAAACTGAGGGTTGCTGGAGTGGAGGCGGGTGGGAAGGATGGGGCAGTTGGGTGATGGACATTGGGGAGGGTATGTGCTATGGTGAGGCACTGTGAATTGTGTAAGACTGATGAATCACAGACCTGTACCCCTGAAACAAATAATACATTGTATGTTAATAATAAAAAAAAGTACTGATCTCTCTGGGACTCCTACCTGTCTCAAACGTTGATCTTTCAGGTAGTGGATCTGGGCGCAAGGTTATTCTTTCTCCGTAGGGTATCTGTTCAACTTTATTAGTGGACATATCTGGTGAACCAAATCAGGGAAAAAACATTATTAAGAATGAAGCTTAAAGAAGACAAAGCTGAAGCTAACAATTTCTTGAGAATCCCAAATACAAACCTGTCACCATTACTCACCTCGGCCATGGCCATAATCAACAGTCTGCTGCACTGGTGGTGGTTTGGACATTGGTGGCATACCCATAGGCAATGGGCCAGGAGGGGGAATGGAAGGGTGAACATGTGGGGGTGGTAACACTGGAGCAGATGGAATTGTTCCAGTTTCTGGTTTAAATTCTGAATTCAGTCCTTGTTCATCATTTGTATCCCAGAGACCATAGAAAGAATCTTCATCCCAGCGTTCCTGTTCCACAGCTGAAGTTTGTGGCTTTATCACTGGAGGAGGAGGTGGAGGCGGAGGAAGTGGCGGTGGTGGTGGTGGTATTGGGATAGGCGGCCTGGTCACAGGAACAGATGATCTTGCCGGTGGAGCTGAAGGCCTCACAATTGAACCTGGTGGTTTACCCATAGGAGGGGGTGGTCTATAGGACCCTGGAGGCTGGAGAACAGAGTAAATGCTTTAGTGGATAAGCATACCATCATGTTTTCACACGTTAGTAGAAATTAAAATCCGATTCTCCATCCATAAAAGAAAAAGTTGATAAACCGGAGTCACTCAAAATTAAAAACTTTTTGTTTTAAAATACACCATCGGAGAGAAATATGCAAATCATGTATCTGATAAAGGACTTATACTTAGAATATGAAAAATTTTTATTACTTAGTAAGACAAACAATAGAAAAAAAATATGGGCAAAAAATTTGGACATTTCTCCGAAGAAGATACCAGAATAAGCACTTGAAAAGATGCTCAACATCATTAGTCATTAGGGAAATACAAATTAAAACTATAATGAGATACCATCTCATACCCAGTAGAATGGCTGTAGTTAATAAAACAGACAATAACAAATGATGGCAAGAATGTAGAGAAACAAGAACCCTCTTAGATTGCTAATGGGAATGTAAAATGGTGCGACCACTTTGGTAAATGACTTAATACTTACTCAAAAGGTTAAACATAAATTTACGATACACTTGGCAGTTCCATTCCTAGGTCTCTATCCAAGAAAAACATATCCACCTAAGGACTTGCACGAGTATTCACAGCAGCATTATTCAATGACCCAAATGTCTATCAATTGGTGAATGGATACACAAAACATGGTATATCCATACAATAGAATACTACTTGGCAATAAAAAGAAATGAAGTGCTGATTCATGGATGAACCTTGAAAACATGAGGCTATCTGGGTGCCTGGGTGGCTCAGTCGTTAAGCGTCTGCCTTCAGCTCAGGTCATGATCCCAGGGTCCTGGGATCGAGTCCCACATTGGGCTCCCTGCTCGGCAGGAAGCCTGCTTCTCCCTCTCCCACTCGCCCTGCTTGTGTCCCCTCTCTCGCTGTGTCTCTCTCTGTTGAATAAATAAATAAAATCTTTAAAAAAAAAAAAAGAAAACATGAGGCTATCTAAAAGACATGAACGACCACATATTGTATGAATTCCATTTAAATGACATGCCCAGAAAGACACATCTACAGAGTCAAAAAAGTAGATTAATTGTTGCCTGGAACCTGGGGTAGGAATGAGGATTAACTGCAAACTGGCAAAAGGGATCTTACTGGGATAATGAACATGTTCTAAAACGGGGTAATGGTGATGATTGCAGAGCTTGGTAAAATTTACTAAAAGTCACTGAATCACACACTGAAAATGGGCAAATTCTATGCTATGTAAATTATACCTCAATTAGGTTATTTAGAAAAAGGAAACAAAACGGTCTTCAACCTTTTGTTAGATTGGGCTGGTTGGCTCTTGCTATTGCAGTGGTGACCCACTTCATCCTGTCTGATATTCTTACATCTGGAGATCTTCATATTTCTCTAAGCTCTCCCACCTAGATACTTAAGCCTAGGGCTTTTCTTACAATCACGCTCTTTGGATGCCTAGGTGGCTCAGATCGGGATCTCGGGGTTGTGGCATCAAGTCCCACGACAAGCTTTCTCTCCCTTTCCCTTTGCCCCTCTGCCTGCTCTCCCTCAAATAATAAAATAAATAAATAAAATCTTAGAACAAACCAATCTCACTCTTTTTCTACCCTCAACTTAGCAACAGGAGTGTGGATCCAGCTAAGCCCCAATGTCCGCCTTTCCCTGAAGCACCCAATTCTAAGGACTCTTCTCCAATGCCTGAGACTTATGGGCCTGAAGAAAATTATGCATCCTTGCAAATATCATCTGCTGAGACACCCTACATCGAGACTGTCTCTCCTCTTCCTCCTTCCATGGATCTGCTTATTCGGGACAGCCCGATTCTTCCACCAGTCCCAGAGTAAAACTACTACCCACTTCTACAGAGGAAGGAACAGTGAAGAAGGAAGATATGGCCCTGGGCAAGAAACAGATCAGAACCCTGTCCTCTCAGACCCAACTATATGTACTCAATGACAGATTTCAGAGACAGAAATACCTCAGTCTACAGCAGATCCAAGAACTTCCCAACATTCTGAACGTTAGCTATAAGCAGGTTTAGACCTGGTTCCAGAACCAGAGAATGAAATAAGAGGTGGCAGAAACACAACTGGCCAAACAGCAACAGCGTGACTCAGGACAGCTCAGCAACTACAGAACACCCAGGCTTCTCTTCCTATCACTAGGGATAACTGATAAACACTTCTGGAACCTTTCAATATGGAACAACCATTCCTGCAACAGTCAGACCTGGTGTCCCCAGGCCTGGAACAACAATTCCTGAAACAATCAGCTCCACAACTGTGGAGAGGAATCCCTGCAGCCCCAGATCCAGTTCCAGTCAACTTTGGTCAGTGATGTGGAGTCTATCTTAGAAACTGCTGGGGAAAGCCATGGTGTAATACAGCAAACTGCTAAGTATCTTAGCACCCAGCAAATAATGGATTTATTCCCAAATGACTCTGTGAACATAGAGCCTGGATATGTGTGACGATGAGTATATTATTCAATCTCAATTTGGGCAGTGGCTGTATTACTTCTCCTAGGATTTGTGTTTTAGGGTCCTGTATCTCTGCCTTGATATTCTGTTTCTCACTATGCTTATTGTGTCAATTGAGGGGATATGAATGGAGTATAATCAAAGAGGTTTCAGTAGCATTGGCTGCTATGGACAATGTAGCATGTTTCTGGCTACAGATAACTAGATACAATACTAATTTGGGTATCTTTAGGCTTTAGAATCTAACCTCAAGAATAGGAAGTAAAGAGGCGCCTGGGTGGCTCAGATGGTTGGGCGTCTGCCTTCGGCTTGGGTCATGATCCCAGGGTCCTGGGATCGAGCCCCACCATCGGGCTCCCTGCTCAGCGAGGAGCCTGCTTCTCCCTCTCCCTCTGCCTGCTGCTTCCCCTGCTTGTACACTCTCTCTATGTCAAAAATAAATAAAATCTTTAAAAAAAAAAAAAAAGAATAGGAAGTAAAAATACAAAGGTGTGTGATGAAGGATTATTTGTATTTTCTGACATTGTGAGGCTTTACTTGTTAATAACCTCAATTGTTGTGGTGAAGGGTTAAGCTATAATGTGCTTCATGGATTTCCTCTGCCCCTTGTGTTCTTTTACTATAACTCCTACTTTGTACATTATTCTAGTATTTGCAGAAAGATGTTTTGTATTTTAATGTATTATGATAACAGTACCAGTTGGTTGGTTGGTTTATAGGTTTAAGTACAAATAAATAAAACACCCACTTAAAAAAAAGTTGTCCTCAACACTACCATCCCCTCCCCCCAATGTACCACCCTCTTTTTCTCCGTCCTAGTTAGGGAGTTAGCCACTTAGATATAAATGTCCCAGGTCCACCCCATAACTACTGAATTTCTGTAGGGGGAGATCCTAGCATTAGTTAATGCTAGTCCATGAATAATTCTGATGTTGACCACTTGGTTAAGAACCTCTGCTATAAACTATCTTTCTCACTCTGGTGACCTATCTCTACAAAAAGAGTGATTTCCAGTGAGAGAAATAAATTCTAGCTAGCCTCCTCATTTCTATTCAGTTGTCTGGTTGACAAGAGTAGTTTGTGGCAAGATTGGTACCAACATACAACATCAACACCAGGAAACAACAAAACAAAGAAACTGAATGGGACATTTAGTAACCTCTCCAAGAGGGAGTGCCACTGTAGCGTGCAATGTTCACATTTGTTTTCCCAAAGCAATCACCAAATGTCAACAGAAATGTGTATTAAAGAGATAGTAGAACCTCTCGACAGATAGGTCCTATCTACTCAATATTGAAATCCAGTGGTCAAATTTTATTTTAATCTTTGCAAGCTTGATTCAAATGGTCACTATACTTTTCTCTTAGTTCACTGTGTCTGGTTTGTTTGTTCTTCACTGACAGCTATTTTAGACCTTATACAGACCAGCCAACAATATATATTACTTACATATTTACTCATGTATGGGCTGTACTTTAAAAACAAACTTTTTGAGTAACAAAATGGATTTGGCCAATACATAAGAAATGTTGTTTAACTAGAGATAGCTACAGGCTACAGTTAAAGACAAAGGGTTACTACCTAAGAGTAAACATTCAATTATGCCATTTTAAACTTCAAGAAAATGCCAATATAAGACAAAAACTATCGTGTCTGGAGCTATCCAGGCCTGTTTCAAATATCTTAAGAACTCTTGAGACTATGTCTATAAATAAAATAGAAGGTGTTTTCTTCATACTACACAGTGAAAGCAATAGATACATTTTTTTAAAAAACAAAACATCCCTACAGTATTTATATGAGAAAAGATTAATATCTACATTAATAATATAAATTGGTAAGAAAAACCTCAAGAGTCAAAGAGTAAATGGGTAAAGAACAAAACAGAATTTTTATAAGAATATAATTAATATGTAAAAAAAAAACTCATGTTCACTAATTATCAAAAATGCATATTAAAACATTTTATTAAAACTATTAAATCTACCAAAAATATTAAGTAGCTGATACTTGCAAGGCTCTGGTATACACCTTATACAACTATTTTCAAGAGCCCCTGGCTGTATTCCAGGAATCATTAAAAATGTCCTTATTCTGTAACTGAAGTATCCCACTTTGGGAATTTAAGATTTTTATTATTATTTTTTTTAAAGATTTTATTTATTTATTTGAGAGACAGAGAGTGCATGCACAAGCAGGGGGAGGGGCAGAAGGAGAAGCAGACTCCCCGCTGAGCAGGGAGCCCAACGTGGGGCTCAATCCTAGGACCCTGAGATCACGACCTGAGCCCAAGCAGACGCTTAACCTACTGAGCCATCCTGGCACCCCATGAGCTCTGTTTAGAAGGAAAGACAGACGAGGTAACAGACAAAATACCACAGGATAATGGCTATGACAGAGGCTTGTACAAGATGTTAGAGGGGTACATGTGAAGGCAACCATCTTACACAAGTGGAAGGGAAGATACGGAGCTGAGTTCTAAAAATGAACAAGAATGAACTAGGTGGAGAAGGGGATAAGAAGAGAAAGAAAAGAAACTCCGGCTTTAGAGAACAACATGCATGTGGCAAAGGGATGGAGAGGTAAGAGAGTGGCACACTTGCAGTGTTGTAAGAAGCTCCATGTGGAAGGAAAGCAGAGTGTAGGAGAGTGATGGTAATGGTTAAGTAATGGTAAGTAGAGGTCAGGCCAGGTCAGGAAGAACATAAAAGGTCATGCAAAGGACTCTAGATTTTATCCTGAAAGCCATGGGGGAATAGGGAAGCATTCTAAAGCCAGGGTGCACAACAGAGTGAGATTTATGTTTTCGCATGTCCAGTTGGCCAGAAGTCCCATCAGTGCTGTCTAAAGTGAAGCACAAGAGTACAGAATGGCAGTAGAGAACTTTTTGGGGTAATGGAAATTTTGTTCTTCTTTATATTTGTCAAAACTCAACCTATGTAGGCTTAAAATGAGTTATGACATGTAAATTATACCCCAATCTTTGATTCAAAAATATAGTAAAATAATCACTCTAGTAGCAGAATGGTGAATGGATCAGAGGGGAATGAGACGGGGAGATGAACGAGGATGTTTCTTAAATAATCTAGGCAAGAGCTGATGAAGACTAGAACTGAGGTTGTGGGGAAGTACAGGACAGTATATCTGAACAATATTAAAAAGGTAGTAAAATCAATCAACAGAATGACTGGCTATGAAAGGGTAGGACAAAGGAAAGAGTTAAGGCTGACTTTCAGGTTTCCAGCTTGGGTGACTAGGTAATGGTGAGAAGAAAGAACAAATTTAATGGAGAATGATAATGAACTCCACTTTGAATATGCTGAGTGACAGGATACACATCCGGATGCTGATGGATGCACACACAGGTCGGGACATGGGACATGGAGAGGTGACATCATGGTGGCCCCTGGTGCTAACAACTATGTATGAGTATTATGTGTTAGATTGGGATGAAAGGGAACATTGAAAAATGAAGAGTTAATTTCATGAAATGGTTTGAGTTTTTTTCTCTCGTGTTGTTATAAAGTTATTTGCATGAAAACATTTTTTAAAGCCCATCACTGGCATAAAGGTAAAAACAACAAACAACAACAAAAATGAATGCAAAACAAAGGGAGAACTTGATCAAACAAGTCTTTAACAGAACTTTACTGCCTGAACTGGGGCATAATGTTTGATCTCTTCTGTAGCTGAGGAACCAGTAGCCCGAGGAGGTGGGGAGACTTGGAGGCTCACAGGAACAAGGTTCATGGGGAGCCCCTGCACTGCCCAGATGAAAAACAGGACTATTTGAACAAAAGAGATTATTAGGAAAATTCTACAGTTTTGTGAACATGAAGCCATGTAGCTCAGGTGTGCTTGGTGTACTTATCAAAACCTAGGAGAAAAATGCATCTGTCACACTTCTGACCACATTTAAAAGATTTTCAAAGGTCAATTACAATTAGCTTTTTACTTTCCCCAAATTTACATTTTTTATAGAGGAAATTTTATACTTACTACAATAGAAAAAAATCAAACAACATATAAACATACAAGGTAGGAATCATTTCATTCCCTGAACACACATTTTCCCATACCGGGTACATTCCAGGCCTTGAAGATGCGTTCTGCAACCTCGCATCCTGGGGCGGCAGATGGTCAGGCATCTGGGGATCCGACCCAAAGTCTTTCATCTTTTGAAGCTGTTCTTTCTGTTCCCTGTGAACAAATAAAATTGCCATGGTACATTAAGGCATGTTTACTCCATTCCTAAGTGACTACAATTGATATCAAAGAACAAAAAAGAGACCTAAACACCTAGTTCTAAAACCTACAGTGCCCACAGAGCACCAGCAGGGTATTACTCTTCTTGCCTTTATATAGCTAACTGACCAGTCATCTACAACCTATAAATGACTACAAATTATTAAGGATCTTCAAGGGCAGAATCTACAATCTGCCTCATTAGTCTATTCTAAAATATCATCTACTTGTCATATTTTTCTTTCATTGAACAAAAAGTTCTCTCGCTATGTTTTTTGTTGAAGACTCTAGACCAGTGGTTGCAAAATGGTGGCCAAATACGGCCTAGAAAGTTTTTTTAAGTTTGCTTTCACATCAGTTTTTAAAATCTGAATTAGCTGCCATTATTTACAAAGCAAAATATTTCACATATAAATTCAAATTTTAAAGGGATTTGGTAATAATGAATGGGCGTACGTTTCCACATGTCAACAATGAAATGACTGGAGTAGTGGCTGTTCACTTTAGATGAAGCAGTTTGCCACAATCCTCATCACACTCAGTAAGTAGAGTTGTACTGGCCCACTTTCACTCATTTTAGTTACTTGTCTGGTTCTTCTGGGTATTTTAGTTTATGGCCCTACTGTATACAGTGAGAACAAATGTCAGTCTATATGCTTACAAATAACACTTCATATTCCTAAAGAGTAATTCTATAACTCTTCATGCTATTCTTCAAATCTCTGGTCAAATTCCCTTTTTTTTTTTTTTAACTTCTCCTTACAATGCCCACCTTAAAAGCAGGTGTAACATCTATAACCTCTTCAGACCTTTTACAATTTTTTCCTTACATTGGGTGTAGTGACTCAAATAGATACAAAATAAGGGTCAAATATAAAGTTTATTTTCTGCCTCATATAAATCATATTATGACTTTATACCAACACAACATAGCTTACTTGTATTCAACTATGATAATTCCTACCCATCACTTCATATATTTTAATTATGTTTATGTTGCCTAGAAAGAGCTTTATAAAAAAAGATGGTGAAGAAGAAGCACCTTTTATCCAGCATTTCCATATAAAGCAATAATGGAGAAAAGGAAATTTTAAAAAAGAAAAGGAAAGAAACCTTGGCAGCTTGGTAACACCAATCAGCTTGGTGTTCTCCATAAACAAAACAGATTTTAGAGCTGGACAGACTGCATTCAAATTCTGGGTTTGCCACTGATTAGCCAAGTGGACTTAACCTCTCTGAGCTTTAGTGTCTGTGAAGCGAGGATCTTTGCAGGCCTTTGAGATAAAAGGATTTGAGACAGGAGGACTGAGATAATATACACTAAACAATTAGCACAGTGCCCCACACACAGTGGGGATTAAATTAAAGGTGTCAATAATTTAAAAGTGAACAATGTAGTAACTAAATGTTCTCTAGCATGCTTTCACATCTTCTTCATGAGTAATTTGGAAGAGTCCAATCTCTCAGAGCATATCTTCTATAGACAGAAATCTGCTGTGCTGCCTGAGATACCAGATCTCTCATCTTGACCTACAGGTGTTTTTCCTCATTATACTTTTCTAGTCATAAAGCTTCAGTTATAATTTCAATTGATATAATCTACAAATGTAGACCAGAATTGAAAAATGAAGGAAACATAATACACTGGAATACATCAAAAGCTAACCATTAATTTATTTTCTCAAAACACTGTTAATTCCTAAGAAATTACTCAAAAAGCTGACAATCTATCAATGACTCCTAAAATCTTATCTCAGGATTTGGTTGGTTTAGGGATTAAATGAATATATACAAAGTACTCAGTATAGTTCCTGGCACATAGTAAGCATGCAATGTTAGCTTTTTTTTAATTGCTACTACCTGGGAAGCTTTATATAGATATCTATACATAGTTAGGTGATTGCAAATCAAGAAATCCAAGATCTATTCTCCATTTCACAAAGAAAATATTTGATTATGCACTAACAAGTAACATCCTCAAGTAGAGATATCTGCTTCTAGTTATAAGGAAAGATAAAACACCCAGAAAGAAAGTATCAATGGTTAGACAAATCTGAGGACGCTTTCAGGTAAACCATTCTTAGCTTCAACAGAGAAAAACCTTACAGCACTTTCCAAAGTTTTATCAAAGATTAGTGAATATGAAGTCTATAAGATCTAATACCAAAGAACAAAAATGCCTCCTGGAAAAAAAAAAAAGATATGTTACATATGAGCTCTGTGAAGTCCAGAGCACTGGAGAGTTGAAGTTTGACACCTGAAACATGCACAAGTATAATGGTATGTCAGCAACACATTTATAAAAGCCAAGAGTGGCTATCAAATTTTCAGATTTCAGGACATAAGCTTACAATTAACACAGTTCCTAAATACATATCCTAACCCTAAAACAGCACCAAATGGCCAGATTACAAATTTAAAAATTACAAGAACTTGAAGCAAAATTATTCCATTCAAATATATCACATCACTTTAAAAGAGCAGTCTGCATGTGGTTTTGACTAAAAGAAATGATCTTAAGTAGTCAACTTACCGAAGCATTTTCAGTTCTTGTGCAGCTTTCAAAATGATTTCGTGCTGCCTCTGACTGAGAACCATTACCCCTCCAAGGCCTTGGTCAGAGTCTAAGTTTGTATCCGACCCCATCATTTCAGAAGAATGATGTGAGGAGGGCATATGTTCCGCCATGGGGGAATGTCTATCCACATCAGATGGGTACCATCTGTCTGACAACCGTTCTCTTTCCCAGTCCATTCTGTCAGGGATATAATCTCGCTTTTCCCGCCATGTATCTCCTCTTTCTGGATACTCTCGGATTCTCAACTCACCCCTATCACGAAAATCTCGATCATACCCATGGTCTCGATTTCTTTCTTCTCTCCATCTATCATCCCGATATCTATCCAAAGGTGGAAGAGGTGGGAGGGGTGGTAAAGGTGGAAGAGATGGAATATCCCGTTCACGAAACTGTGATTCTTGTTCATCCAGTGGTCTCCCATAATCTCTGTCCCACTCATTATCCAAATTTCTATCATACATATCCATGGGTCTTCCAATCCGATCCACATCCCTGTCCAAGTCCCTGTCCATTTCCCTGTTGTAGTCCTCATCCATATCCTGATCTCTCTCCCAATCATCCCACCAAGGGCCTCGTCTATCTCCATCATGAGATCGAGATGGTGGTGCTGAGAACCTGTCCTCTCTGTTATATGGATCTAGTGTATCTTCTTGATAGTCACGTTCACATTCTCTCCAGTATCTTTCTCTATCCCAATCATCAAGTCTTTCTCGTTCCATTGGAGCATTTCTACCATCTAATGGGAACTCTTCATGCCCTCTCTCTTCTCCATGGTTCCATGGAGCCCTAGGAGGCTCATCTCGGTGATATGGATACATTTTTTCCCCACCATCTCCTGGTTCTGGTCTAAATGGACCTCTGTCACGACCAAAATCTGGTCTTCCCAGTCCCCTTTCCCTACTGCCAGGCCCTCTAGGTGGTCCCCTCTCCCTACTCCCGGCTCTTCGTGGTGGTACTCTCTCCCTACTCCCAGCCCTTCGAGGAGGTCCTCTCTCCTGACTGCCAGCCCTCCGAGGTAGTCCCCTTTCTCGGCTGCCAGCTCTACCCCTGTCCTGGCTGCCTTGCAGACCACCCGGCACTTTCTCCCGACTGCCTCCTGGCCTCATCAACCCTCTGTCTCGACTGCCTTCTCCTCTATTCATCTTCTCTCGACTGTCTTCTCTTCTACCCATCATCTTATCACGAAAGTCTTCTTGCTTGACCAACCCCGGGCCACGGCTGAGTGCCTGGCCTCGACCTCTATTTACTAGTCCTTTATCCCGTGTGTCTTCCATTCTGCTTTGCCCAGGACCTCTGTAAGATGAGCTGCTGCCTCGATTGCCTTCTAACCTATTATCTCTATTATCTGGCCGAGGCAGCCCTTTCTCTTGGCTGTTTTCTGAATGGGGCAGACCGATACCCAAAGGTTTAAAATCATTATCTGCAGTTAATGATGATGACGTTGTCACTGCTGCTCCTCCCTCCATCCCCCCTGGTTTTGAGGGAAAAGCAGATTGAGAAGGTAGAGGTTTATTTGCAAGGGATACAGGCTGAGTAACAGCTTGGGCTTTGTCCATTTGAGTCTCCATACTTTGAGAATTCTGGTCCCAATTAGAAGGCTCTATGGGCCCTTCCGAGACTTCGCTTTTAGGTGGCTCTTGTTGAGAGTCGCTTAGATTCTCATTTGACTGAGCCGCCTTGGCATCCTTTATATCTGTAGCAATGGAAAATGTAGCTGACTGCATTTTAAAATTCTTCTGCTGGTTACTATTGGTGTCTGCTAATTGTTCTTTGTTTCCTGAAAGAGGTTCTGCTTGTGATTTAGGTTGCTGCTGATGTTGCTGTCCAAAAGCTGGCTTGGGGCCTTTCCACTGTGGTCCACTCTGTCGAGGACTGAGGGATGTATTGGGGGTAATATAAAACTGAGATGCTGGCCCCCGGGGAATCATTCCCCATTTGCTTTTAGTGCCCTCTGTTGGGTGACCTTCATATCTGGGTCTTGGCCCATCGGGGCGATTTCCTTCAAAACGAGGCCCTTTGGGTCTCGGTCCTTCACACCTTGACCCTAAATCCTCAAATCTTCGAGGACCATCAAATCTACAAGTAAAACAAAAGATATTACTCAAGACAGTAAAGCAGAAAAAAAATATTCTCCATGTAAGAATATTTAAGGCAATCGTGCCTTAGAATCTGTTTACAAAAATGACTCTTTCAGTCATCATATAAATCCTGAGGCATCTATCTTAGAATCAGTACGCTAAAATGGCAGTGCTCAGAAGGTCTCAGGACAGGCTTTGGAAATCATGTCAGTATTATTGTAATTCACTTCAAAACATCTCCTGCAGCAAGTCACTGATATACTAAATTGTTAAAAAGCAATTATAAACATTGTGACTTAGTAGACAGAAAAGTCCACTCATTTTTAATGGGGAAAAAAATGCCACAGCTAATTCTGAGAGTACTTTCAGAATTAAAATATAACTAAAAACTAAATAGGAAACAATCAGAAAGATAATATAGGATGATTATAAATACTGTTGGAACTAACATTATCATCTGGGCTAACTGACAAAAATTCAAAAAGACAGTAGCCAGCTGTATCTTAAGAGTTCACCCTGACATTTTAAAGTCTGGACAGTGCCCTGAAAACTTGCTATGGACCTAATTGCTCATTCTGTAAATTTTTAGTGCACATCCCCTGCCAAGCACTATAGTACATCCAAGGGATATACAAATAAAATGTCATCTGTTGCCCTCAAAGGGTTTACAATGGAGGAGAAAGAGAATCTAAGTGTAAATAAGGTGCAATGACAGAAGTCTATCTGCATATAACAAGGGCAACAGAGGAGGGGATGTTCAATTCTACCAGAGTTGGGAGGGGGGGGTTGCTGTCCAATAAAGGCTTTATACAATAGATGATGCTTACATTAAGTCTTGAAAGACAAATTCTCTGAGGCCAGGCTAACAGAGCATATTGGCGATAAGGGAAATGGGTGGCAAGGAAGTGGTTAAGGAAACACTGTGAGGAAAGGCAGAGAAACACACACCAGCATGGCATGTCTGGAAGTGCAACAGTTGAGTATGGCTTTGGCAAAGAGGAGACAGATTAGGGAGAGCTGGGAAAGGAGTGGAAAGGGAAGGAACTAAGAGACAAGGCAAAGAGTAGGCAAGAATCAATCTCTAGGAGACCTTGTATGCCTTGTGTAGCAGAGACTACTGGTGCCCCTCCAATGGCCATTCCCCCTTTTCCTACAGTAACTGAGCCTCTTCATTTTTAGATGGACACAAAGCTAGCCAAACTCAAGACTGACTCTCTTTCCCAAATTCTCCTGCAGCTAGAACTTGTAGCCATGTTCTTGCCAATGGGCTGAAAGTGAAAATGACCAGCACATCCTTCTGGGTTATACCCTTAAAGGGAAGGGCACATCTTCCTCTTCACCCTTTGATTTTTCATGCTGGCTCGGACATGCTGGTGAAGCATGTTGGACCATGTAGATAAGAGCAATATACTAGGGGATGAAAAGTAGCAAATTAGGGGCTCCTGGGTGGCTCAGTCGTTAAGCATCTGCCTTCGGCTCAGGTCGTGGTCCCGGGGTCCTGGGATCAAGCCCCGCATCGGGCTCCCTGCTTGGCAGGAAGCCTGCTTCTCCCTCTCCCACTCCCCCCTGCTTGTGTTCCCTCTCTCGCTGTGTCTCTGTCAAATAAATAAATAAAATCTTAAAAAAATAAATAAAAAGAAAAAAAAAGAAAAGTAGCAAATTAGAAGGAACCTGGCTTCTTGACATTACCATCATATAAGTGTGGAGAAAGAATAAACCTCTAATTTATTAAGGCATGTGACTTTAGATTTGTTACCATAGGTGAATTAATTTAGCTGGGTAAGAAGTTGGGAATTACTTAATGAGACTTAGAGCCACTACAGATGGTCTGATTTTTAAAAGATTGCTCTAGCAGAAAAGTAGCAGATGGATAGGTGGGAAAGTTTATTGTAGATTGTTTCCACAATTTGGGTAAATGAAAGTGAAGCCTGTTCTAAGGCAGTGACTGACATGAGGATGTAGAGGAGATAAAAGTGAGAGATGTGAAAGAAGGTAAAATGCATAGGACTTTCTAACAGGTAAGATTAAAATGACAACAAAAGGGAAGAATTTAGGATGATTCCAAGGTTTCTGGCTTAGGCCTAAACGGATGGTGATACCTTTCATGCTTTTAATGAGAAAGAGAAGAGTTTTTTCTCTTATTTGTTTCGGAAATCAATGAAGAATAATAAATTCAGTTTCAGATAAAACATTTATTTCCTATCCCTGTTGACATCAGGCTTTGCTGGTCTAGAAGTCTTTTAGTTTCAAAGGGAGGAATGCTCCCATCAGGGGAGACAACAGTAACTCCCATTAAACTCAAGTTGAGACTCTCACCTGGCTACTTTGGGTTCTGAATCAACAGGCAAAGAAGGGAGCTACTGTACCCGCTGGGGGTGATTGGCCCTGAGCTGCAAGAGGAAATTGGGTTACTACTGCACAATGAGGGTAAGGAGGACTGTCTGGAATGGAGATCCTCTAGAACACCTCTCAGCACTTCCATGTCCTGTGATTAAAGTCAATAAAAAATGACAATAACTCAATTCAGACAGGACTGTCAACAGCCCAGACCCTTCAAGAATGAAGGTTTGGGTCACTCCACCAGGCAAAAAACCAGGACCACCTGAGGTGCATGCTGAGAACAAAGGGACTACAAAATGGCTGGCAGAAGAAGGTAGTTAGTTATAAATACCAACTATGGTTACATGACCAGTTGCAGAAAGGACCATAAGAGTTAGGAATATTTCTTCCTTAATTTAATATGTTTAAATATATACATATGTATTAGTCAAACATCTTTGGCTGATTTTTCTTCCTTATCATCTAACATAAGATGTATTAATAATAGTTAATTTTATATCTCAGAGTTTAAATTACAGAGTATCAAAGAGAGAGTGTGACCCAGCTAGAAGAATGAAGATTTCTCCAAAGACAAAAAAGGGACTTTATATCCTTTTCTGGGGAATAGGTAAGAATCTTTCTTCAGTTGTCCAGGGATAAATATTTCATGTCAGATGCAGAAATCTCCCTTGTGACCCATCCTAATCAGAAACATATAAGGGAACTCTGGGAAAGATACTACAGCCTAGCCAAATTGACAGAACACAGAGTCATCACAAGGAATTTCAATATACATAAACCCATTATAAACAGAAAAGGGACCGCCAGCAGATGAGAGTTTTGTTTTTAAATTCTGGAAGACAAAGAGCAAACATGAGTGGTAACATATGGAGCAAGAAGAAGCTTAGAAGTTTAGAATGCTGGTAGTAGAAGGGGATGCAATAAAAATGGGCTGGTTTGCTCACAGAACCCCAGAGAGTCAAAATTCTTAGATACCATGAAGGAGAGGAATAAGACTTCCGGGCTAAAAATAGTAAATTAAAATCTATATTCATGGGGCGCCTGGGTGGCTCAGTCGTTAAGCATGTGTCTTCGGCTCAGGTCGTGATCCCAGAGTCCTGGGATCGAGCCCCACATCGGGCTCCCTGCTCTGCTGGGAAGCCTGCTTCTCCCTCTCCCACTTCTCCTGCGTTCCCTCTCTCTCTGTCAAATAAATAAATTAAAAAATCTTAAAAAAAAAATACTTATAAATAAATAAAACCTATATTCAGAACCATCAACCAGACTTTCTTTAGGCTGAATGTCCCTAAATTCTTGAATCTGAGGGCCCTCTAACAGTAGCAGTTCTTTGCCCTACCACCTAAAACAAACCTGAAGTTACTGAGTGGGAGCAACAATAGTTGGTAAGTTCCCCACATATACACAGAGCTTCCAATTAGCTTGTCTGTGTCCCCCACACTTAAATATAAATGGATATTTATTTTAATACCTAGATATTTGAGGAATGTCTCCAAAACAAAAGGAAGAGACCAAAGGTAAACAAGGTCATAAATCTGGAGAAAACAGAGATAATGCAAAAATCAGAAGACAACTAAAAAAAAAACAACAAAAACCCAAATAATATCCTCAGATTCTTAAAGGTACTGTACCTATAAATCAATTTGCTATATATAAAAAAGGATCAGAACCAAAAGAACTACAGAAATTTTTTAAATTCTCCAAATAAAATGCAATAAAAGGATTAGTAGTATCTCAGAAAGTACAACCAAATGAAAAAGAAACAAATATAATCAATCTAGCAGGTCCAGAAACCTACTAATGAGGAGTTTCAGAAAGAAAAAAACAGAAAACAAGAAAAAAAATTAATAAAGAAATAGGATAAAGATTTAAGAGTTAAGAGATTCCCATGTCCAGACAGAAAGGGCCTAGCTCACTAAGTACCCAGTATAATTAGTAAAACAAAACAAAACAAAACCGACTATGAACTTTTAGAATACCAGGGGAAAAGTTTCTGGCAATAGGGAGAAGTCAGCTAAAAAGGAAAAGAATCAGAACAGTACAGCACCTACACTAAGTGACAGAAGAAAATAGGATGATGACCCTAAAACCTTGAGGAATAATTATGTTCAACTTCAGTGTGTAGTATGTAAATGGTGTTAAACAGTTTGGTACTGGCATAAAAACAGACACACAGATCAATGGAACAGAACAGAGAGCCCCCCCGCCAAAAAAACCTGCACATATACAGTCAATTACTTTATAACAAAGGAGCCAAGAATATATGATGGAGAAATGGAGAAAGGACAGTCTCTTCAATAAATGATCCTGGGAAAATCGAACAGCCACATACAGAAGAATGCAACTATAGTGCCATCTCACACTATACACAAAAACTAACTCAAAATGGATTAAAGACCTGAAAGTAAGAACCCAAACCATAAAACTCCTAGAAAAAAACGTAAGTGGTAAGCTCCTTGACATGGGTCTTGGCAATGATTTTTTGAATCTGATATCAAAAGCAAAAAGCAAAAATAAACAAGTGGGACCACATTAAACTACCAAGCATCTGTACAGCAAAGAAAACCATCAACAAAACAAAAAGGCGACCTACTGATTGGGAGAAAATACTTACAAATATTATATCTGATAAGGGGCTCACATCCAAAATAAAGAACTCAC